GAACATCGAAGCTTCCGTCCGACCATGAACTACCTACGACCATCCTCCCGATCATCCTATTACCTACCATGCTGTCATTCCTGGGAATTCCCGCACGTCTCGACGCAAGTCGCCTTTGCCAGCTTGCCGTTCAGTTTCGCCTCTGCGGCTCGCCTCCCATTCTACGAATGCCCACGCAGAAAACTCCCCAATGCAGTTTTAGGAGGGGAAACTGCATCGACCGGGCAGCTAACAATTTCTCCAGAGTGGCCATCGAATTGATAGTAGTGTTTGTAGCAGGTGTATGCGTTGAGTCTCTTGTAGACACTGGCACTGCCGTTTCGATAATTCGTGCTGATTTTTGTTCCCGCCTTCGAAAAGTCACCACGCCTTATGGCGGCCCACCTCTCCGTGCGGTGACCAACGCTCTCATTCGTCCACTTGCACAGTGTACCATTCGTGTCTGCATCGAAGGCGTTCGTTACACATAGTTTTCGCGGTATTTCCTGAGTGCACCCACGCTCTCATTCTGGGGTGGGATTTCTTGTCTTCTGCGTCCGCTTTCATATCTTGTCATCAGCGCCTCGTGCATCTAAATGCCACTGACTCTTCTCCGCTTGAACACGATGGACGCATCTGCCTTGTCACCACGTCAGATTTTGTACTTCGGCAATACATCGAAGAAATTATAAGTGTTAATTGCACCGACATTGTGGATGGTGACGTGCTAATTCTCCCTTATGGCCATACCCTACGTAGGGGCATTGGATCACACCAGGGCTTATTCACTTTTTCGATGGTTCTACCTACCTAACCACCATAAATCAAACACCCGAGTGTGTACTGCTCCCCTGTGGCTCAACAGTATCTTGCGTGGTCGACAGTGAGCCTGTTGCGATTGTTACTCTTTCGAACAACAACCACAACGATGTCCCAAAGTCACAATCACTGCCATTCAATGCCTCTTCCACACCTGTGTCGGCAACCATAAGCACTGACTTAACACCTGATCAAACTGAAGATTTGCTCGCCCTGTTGAATGGACATCGTTCTCTATTTGACGTGAACTCGCCCGCCCTCAGCATGATTACCACCGCTACTCACACCATCCAGACTGACGGCTCTCGTATTGTACATCGCCGTCCATTACGGGTGTCTCAGGCAGAATGCAAGATCATCGAGGAAAACGTCTCAGACATGCTACGATACAACATCATACGTCCTTCCTCGAGTCCCTGGTCATCCTCCGTTGTTCTCGTTCAAAAGAAAGATAGGACAGTGCGTTTATGCGTCGATTACCGTGCGCTAAACAAAAATAACGCGCAAGAATGTTTGTTCTCTCCCTCGGATCGACGATGCACTGGATTCATTACAGGGCGCAGAGTATTTCTCTAGCCTCGGCTTTAGGTCAGGCTACTGGCAGATACCAATGTCGGACTCTGATAAAGTGAAGACCGCCTTTTCAATGCCAGTTGGGTTGTACGAGTTTAATGTGATGTCTTTTGGAATCTGTAATGCGCCCGCCACCTTCGAATGTATGATAGACGGCATATTGCGTGGTTTGAAATGGAAAATGTGTCTGTGCTATCTCGATGACATAGTAATGTTTTCATCCACGTTCTCGCAGCATCTACATCTTGACGAAGTCCTCATATGCCTTGAAAAAGCCGGTCTACAGCTTAACACCAAGAATTGTACCTTTGCTAACAAGACAATCAAGGTTCTCGGCCACCTCGTCAGCAAAGAAAGAATTCGGCCGGACCCCGAGAAGCTTGCCGTCGTTCTCGATTTTTCTCGTGCACTACGTCAAAAGGACCTGCGCAGCTTTCTTGGGTTATCTTCTTACTTCCGGCGCTTCATACGTGGCTTCGCGGAACTTGCGTCTCCGCTCCATCAACTCTTCGCAAAGAACGTCTCCTTCATTTGGTCCGAAGACTTCGAAAGCGCTTTCACGGCATTGAAGCAAGCCCTCACGTCGGATCCGGTGCTGTGCCACTTCGATTCCTACCGCACCCACTATCCTTCACACCGACGCCAGTAATCGTGGTCTAGGTGCGGTACTCTTGCAGCGTGACAAAAACTCACGCGAACGCGTCGTTGCTTACGCAAGTCGCGCTCTTACTCTCCAGAAAAGAACTACACTATCACCGAGCAGGAGTGCCTTGCTGTTGTTTAGGCAGTACAAAGATTCCGACCATATCTTAAAGGCCGTCATTTTACCGTCGTTACCGACCATAATGCCCAATGCTGTCTTTCATCGCTGAAAAACTTATCGGGTCGCCTCGGTCGCTGGGCGCTTTGTTTGCAGGAGTATGATTTCGATGTCGCCTACAGATCTGGGAAGAAGCATCGGGATGCTGATGATCTATCGCGCTGTCCTTTGCCCAGCGGAAGCCACTCATCATCAATACTCCAAAACGACAGCACCTCTCCAATCGCAGCGCTAAGTTCATCACCTGCCACCCTATTCGTCCTTGTTTCACAACAACGTGTCGACCTATAATGCCGCACCATTGTTGACCGCTTGACCGGCTTACTACTCCTCCAAACGCCAGACTCCGTCGACAACTTAAACAATTTAAGCTTGTCGGTGGTGCTTTATACCACTACATTTACCACATCGATGGCAACAAGTGGGCACCTGTCATCCCACGTTCTCTGCAACGTGAAGTACTGGAAGCCTTTCATGATGATCCAACCGCCGCTCATCTAGGCTACCACAAGACTTACCACAAAATGCGAAGTCGTTGTTTTTGGCCTGGCCTTTCTTCAGCCATCGCTAAGTACGTTGCCTCATTCGTTCATTGCCAACGGCGAAAACGATGAACAACTGCTTCGGCAGGCTTACCGCAACCTCTTCCCTGTCCCGCCTCGCCTTTTCAAGTTGCTGGAATCGACTTGTATGGCCCTCTTCCTATATTATCCAATGGGAATCACTGGATTGTCACAGTCATCGACCACCTTACCCGCTACGCAGAAACAGCTTCTATACCATCTAGGACTGCCACTGAGGTCGCCGATTTCTTTCTTCCCCACATCTTTTTGCGTCATGGAGCTCCTTGCATTCTCCCGAGTGATCGTGGCAAAGTCTTTCTCTCTTCTATTGTCGAGCAAGTTTTGCATGTCTCGAACACTGTTCACAAGACCACTTCTAGCTACCATCCACAGACCAACAGATTGACTGAACGATTTCATCGGACCCTATCGAACATGATCGCTATGTACATTCACCCCAACCACACGAACTGGGATGCAATTCTACCCTTCGGGACATTCGTCTATAATACGGCTGTTCAACGCGCTACCGTCTCTTTCCTTTCGGCCTCTGCATCCTCGACGGCTCCTTTCTCTGAAGAATGTTTACCTCGTCCCGCACACTGCCGTCACCAGGCCCGTGTTAACACTGGTCTCTCTCAAGACACTCGAAAATCTCGCTACGACTCGTCTCGCCGTGTTGTGAGTTTTTCCTTGGTGACTAAGTTCTTCTATGGACTCCACTACGCGTCCCGGGCTTATGCGAAAAATTCATCAGTCGCTTCATTGGGCCGTACACGGTGGTCGAACAGACATCTCCTGTCAATTACCGTGTTTCTCCTCTTAGCGCTAATTCTGATCGTCGTTGCCAAGGAACAGAGATAGTGCACGTATCTCGTTTAAAGCCTTATGCGCGACGCATTTCATAATGCTGTCAAGCGACCAGGCGGCCGCTTTCACCGCGCGGGGGAATCAGTGTGAGCACGGCAAGCGAATGACTCTTCATTCTCTTCAGATATCATCATCACCTGTACATCTTCATCATCTGTAAATATCATCACTAGTGTGATTTAGCTCGATCCTGGCTGAATAAACTGGTTCCTCACATTATTTATTTATTTTATTTGTTTTCAAACACTGAAGGGGCTATTGTTGGAGTGGGGTACACTTTCATAATTAAACATACTGTTAACAAAGTTGACATTTGAGTAAAAACAAAGAAGCAATGATTTATCGTTACAGTGTGTCTACGAAATCCGGCAACGATAGTCCATGAATACTAGTGGGTAATTTGGTCCACCTTCCAATAACTCTATAATAATAACTGTTCTAGAAAATGGTAATGTGCCTAAAGAAAGGCTTCAAGTTGAAGCTGTGGTAATGTCTAGTTGAAAATGTATTAGCATATGAGATGTAATTGTCTGAAGATAGTAGATGAGATGAGTGAAAATATGAGTGCAATAGCTTCAAGGAATCTGTATCTCGTCTGGTGGATAGGAGAGGTAATTTCGAAAAATTCATTACCGAGGAAAGTGAAAAGTTACGATCGTAGCGATGGCAAATGAAACGAACTGCCTTCCTTTGTACAGATTCAATTTTGTTGACACCTAATGTTATATACAGATTCCAGACATATGATGCGTACTCTAGTATAGGGCCTATAACCATTTTATACAATAGTAACTTAGTGCATTTCAGGAGATTTGGAGGATGTACAGCGCAGACATTCTACTTTTTTCTTCATCATCTAAAAAAAAATCAAGCAGTTTGAAAAAACTATGTAAGGTGTGAGTATGCATGGGCTATTCGGCATTCTATTTCAAAACTGATTGCAGCCGAGGGGGAGCTTTGAAATGCGCTCGTCTTCATTGGTCTCTTTGTACCTTGCCATTGCTAGCGCTGTTTTGACGCAGAAAAACGAAATCATGCTTTATTATTCTGCTCAAGTGACCAAACGGCCACAGCCACGTCTGAAATGCAATATGGACATAAACACGTTCTCTAAGGAGACATGTCTCTTACAGTTACTGACCTTAACCAAAGGAAGTTTTGCAACTTTACAGGTGTCTTTATTGGATTGTTTTCTATTTTTTCGTGCTGCGATCACTCGTGGATGTGTCTATGCTCTTCAACCTGTCATTAAAGCTGCATGGACTGCCTTAGCAATCAGTTCTTGGCTCGAATAATTCAATTATAGCACTTCACAAATTGTGATGCTGTGGGTGTGATCCAATTAAAGCAGCCCAGGTGATGTATTGCTGATGCAGACTATGGGCAGCTGCTGTCATCGCTGGTAAAGCACGAGGTGTCACAGCTTCCACGCTCAGTGTACACAACATCCCGGGTGGCCCTATCTTCAAGCAGCAGTGATGCGTCTGCACACGCCAACATCGGAGTCCAACTGTGCACCTTGTATGAGGCCAACCGTTTCCCAGCCATTCAGGGAAGCCTCGCAGGTCAGTGCGTGAGCCATACTTGGCTGGTGATGTGATGTTCATTTTACGTATAGACGTGCCTTCTTGAGTGTGGTGTTCGTAGAGGGTGATCTCATGCTCTACATTCACATTCGGCTTATCGTGTGAAGCTTTGTCTACCACAACCAAAATAAGTGTGCACTTTGCTTGAAGAGTGGTTCGACTAGCAACTTAAACGTATTTTAACTCAGTGCGCGACTATGCGGGCACAAGAGAAGAAGGTACAAACTGCTGCGCTGACTCGGAAGTAAATTTTTGTTAGAAAACGTGAATGAAAAAGAAATGTCAGACTAACAATTTGCTGCTGCAATTTGTGATACTTTCAAACTTTGTTTTAACTTGAAATCTGTATTCTGTTAAGCACTCTGCAATAGAAAATGACTTGACACCTTTATTGCATGGCTATGCACAGATAAGTTTTCTGTCTTTTTTTCTCTTTTGCTGTAGTGCGTTTTTTCAGTTAGCGTACATGTATTTCGTGTGGTGTCATGACTTCTTTCTTGTGTCCATGCCCTGTCTTTGACTTAGCAAATAGCTCAGCTCTCTTATTTTAAACACATTTAGATTTACTGCTAGGGTTTGACTATTTGGACTTTGACATGCCTAAGACCGGCTATTGAAGAACAACATAACATTTACAACATAACATTTATGACATAACTGGTAAGTGTTCAGGACCAGCTATTATGTGTTTTTTTTTTTCCTTACTTCTGTTTACCCCCCTTTAGTACTCCATGTACGATGAAGCGACGGCCGTCCTTGAAAGCGAGCCGAACTGGGGGAGAAGGTTATTACTCGAGTCCTGGCACATACAAAGGACAGCCCATAACATTAACCGCTCTCTCGGAACTCTTCCCCCACTGTATACACATGGACTGCGCAAAGCGAGAGAGAGAAAGAGGGAGGGTCATTATTCGCCCCGCAAGTGCTTTGAAGACCCCGCTGCTATGCCGGCAGTCACCCCTAAAAAAGGAATCAAGTCTATTTCGAAATGTCGGGTTTCTTTAAAACTTTTTGTTGGAGTCTAAATCGTCTCCCACGAAGAAAACATTGCCGACCAAAGTAAAAAATACATTCTTAGAAAGACGTTCTGCACAACGGGAACCTTATTCAATTCGTTTATTTATTTAGTCGTGTTACCCACCAGGTTCAGAGAAGCATTGGGTACGGGGCTGTTACAGAAAAATCACAGTAAATGAGGCATCAAAAAAAACTTCACTTATGACTTATAAAGAAATGTACAATAGAAAAGAACACAGACAATAAGCAAATACAGCAGAAAGCAAAGTCGAAAAGTGAAAAACATCTTAATACAAAATCAAGGATACATATAAACTTGCAATTGAGCACGGAATTTGGCAGGATCTCTTAAAGAAACAATTTCATCTTGAAAGTCATATTAAATTGAAATGGCGCATGGCAAAGTTGAAGTCGACTAGGTGGGAGCAAGGGAACTTGAAATGAGAGACGACTTGTCCATGAGTTGTAGTAGTACTTTTGGAAGAGACATAGAAAAGTGACAGAACAGTTGGAATACAAGTTAGTAAAGGCAATATCGCATTAGACTTAAGTGATGCTAGAATGGTAGGCTTGTGCGAATACTCGAACAAATAATAGAGTACAGTTAAACCTGCTTATAATGAACCTTCATATAACGAATTCCTCGATATAACAAAGTTTTTCTATTCCCCGCCTTTGCTCCATAGAAGCACAAGTATTTGCGACCTCTATGTAACGAAATAACAGCAGGAGACAACCTTGATAAATCGAATTTTCTTCACGGACAATCTAGGAATTTCGCTCCGCATTTTGTTACGAGCATGCATCTTCTGCGGCTGGCCCGCTGCCAGCAAAGCGAGAAGCGATGCGGCGCACACGACGCACGGCGAGAGCAAGCGCTAGTTATTGCGCGCGGGTGAGCGCGAGGCGGGGGGCGGGCCTGCACTCCACTAGCTGGTGTTGCTGCCGTTCTCGTCGCCGCGGGCGCATGCGCAAATGTGTGTGTCCCCCCCCACTCCAAACCAAGATAAAAAAAAGAAAAAAAACTACTTTTGCGTGTTGGCAGTGCCACGTCTTTAGTTAGCGTCACATATGTGGGGCCGTGCTGCGTATGGAGGGTGCTTTACGGAATAGTTTTTCGTGGTGTCTGTGTCTGTGTCCATGTCGTTCGCTCTTTATTTTCAACGCAGTGGGCGCGTGCATAGTTTTACTGCGCGTGCTTGGTGTCGCCCCTGACGACGTTCAGCTTTGCTTTTTTTTATTACCATAGCATTTATGCTGAGAGTCCCGGCTGGTTTATTGCCGTCACCGCCGCAGCTGTCATTCACTGTATATGTACGTATCCAATATGAAAACTTGAAAAGAAAAATATGAAAAGAAAAAAAAGCTGCCCGTGCTCCGCAGGCAGCTCGTCACGATGCGCCGACTCGTGCTTATCTTCCACGCGTACTTTGCCCTGCGAATAGAGGGGGGGGAAAGGTTAGATGCCAGTGCGCGTGCGCTTGTCCTTCGATCGGGAAAATAACGCCTTCGACTTTGACCGGAACGATTGCGTTTAGTTGCCGGGCGCACGAAGATTTCTTTCCTCGCTGGACAGGCGTCGTTTGCGAAAAGAGTGCGCTTTTCAACAACTGTGAACTAAAAAGTGCCCCAGTTCGCTCTCATATCTGCACCTGTGATTACGTTTCTGGCCTCGTTTTTGTTTAAACAGCGCGTTTCGTGTCGAGCGGTAAACTTAGTTAGTGTGCTCTCGTCCTGTCAATTACTTTCCTGCATCATTTGTGCGTGAGCAGAGCGTTGCACGTTTCGATCTGCTTGCCGTTCTTAGCGTTACATTCAAAGTTGTTGCTTTTGCAATCATTAATTGCCTCGCCCTTGTGGTGAAACTGTGACTTTTCTTAATTTCTGACAACCGTGTCGTCATCGAGGTGATGTCAGTTGAGGCGTGGATGGAAACTCTCAAAGAACACGGTGATGGCGGCTCTTCGGAGGTCGACTCGTCATGCGCTTCCGTCTTGTGCCACACCGTGAGTTCGCAGCTTTTGTGATTAGCTGATTAGTTCTGGCAACTTGATGGCGCATTGAATGCAATACAATAAACGTGAGAGCAAAAAATTGTATTGGTATATGAAGTAAGGCTGCAGCCAAATCTTTTGGATCGGATATCGCGGAACTCCTACAAAATGCTGGTGTCAACAAATACGGCCTCTCCAGGGAGAAGGGCTCTTTTCACACAGTCACTTCCCATTTAAATTGCACTGATACTTGCCGGGATAGCAATTGTGCCAACGATCGTTACCGCCCTTAAAATCCAAATTAATTAATGCTACTCAATCGATTCCCCCGCACTCTCGGTGTTGTTTCATGCTCATTCAAAACGGGTGTTTTACTCTGTGTTTTAGCATTCCACGGCAATTTCAACATGCAGGAGGTGTTATCTTATGCACTTCCAGGTGATAGGAATGGGCCGACTGATTTGATCTCTGCTTCAGCAGCGCTCACGCGCTTTTACTCGCTGGTGAAAGTTACGATGTGCTCGGGCATCCTATCAATTTGGACTTGTTACGGAACGTGGTGGCGACGGAAAAAGCCGCTGAGTGTATCCATGTTATTATTGTCATTATTGTCATGTTATTATTGCTATCGCAATACCGCAGTATTAACACAGTTTTCTTACTGTAAAATAAGTGTTTTGGGTTATCTCTTTTTCAGTATCTCTTTTGTTTAATTTGCATGTTTATTTTACAAATTTTTGTGCCGAACCTTCATACAACGAAATCCTCTTTGTAACAAATATTTCCAGGACTTCATTAATTTTGTTATGTCCAGGTTTAACTGTATTCGAATTCGCTTTGATTTGAATTTAAATTAGTCTTGTGTGCGCTGCACCAACAAAGATGAAATCAGTACCAACTGACTCAAGTTTTCATTCTTACGGAGGTTTGATTCTTCGGTTCAGAGCTGCTGAGTTAAAGTGATTATTTGGCAATTATACAGTTGAATCATATTAATTTGAACTTCCGGTTCATTCGAACTCACGATGATGTCTCGTCAAAGCTATGTGTATTCCAATGAGGCGAAAACACCCGGTAATTCGAACGTGCAAGCACTTGGGACGGTTAATTTGAACTTACCGCGCTCCGAAAATGCTCTCAGCGTCCCACCCAACCCCGTAGTGGCACCTGCGACACCTCAACGCTGCGTGCGAAGAAAATGAGAAGGAAAGAAAAGGCTGTGGTGGAATGTTTGCTCTCTCACAAATGCCGATCTGTGACGTGCCCGTGTCATACTTCTCCCTCTTCTGTCCCTGCCACGTAAAGACCCTTCTCCTTCCAAAGCCGCGCCATGTGGCCACGCGCGGAGAGAGGAAAAAAAAAAAAAAGAAAGCTGTCGCTGTGTTGATTGAATGTGGGGTTGAAGGGAAGGAAAAAGGCACTATCTTCTGGAGCCCTTGCCCCTTGCGGGAGCACGGCTCTGGGCCTTGAGGGGGGGGGGGGTCTCTCACGCGCTGATGCCACGTTTCCCCTTTCTCGTCCCTGCCTCGTAACCCTTCTCTTTTCAACGACACGTGCGAAGAGAGCAAAAAAAAAAAAAAGCTGTCGTGGAGTGTTGGTTTTATCTTGAATGCTGAATGCTCCTCCTTTCTTATCTCCTCCTTTCTTATCTTGAATGCTCCTCCTTTCTCGTCACGTGCTGGCCATGCAGCGACTGCTACGCAGTTCTTGCTGTCGGCGCTGGACATTTCCGCGTGCAACTTCTCTTGCCAGAAAAATGCTGAAGCCAAAATAGAAATGCTTTGCAAGCTGTGTTCGTACCCACAGCGCCTGGCCTGTGGCACAAATGTATTCCGCGGGTCCCTCTTCATCCCCAGCGTGCCGAAGGTGCAATGATGACGAAACGCTGCAGCATATTATTTGCTCCTGCCCTGACCTGGCCACAGAGCGTTGCGTACTGGTGAGCCGCTATCGTCTGCTTAGACTACC